TAATGTTTAAAAAAATGAATCCCACATGTTCTTATTTTTTTGCGTGTCCTACAATCTGAGTCTGTTTTCTACATTCCCAGAAAATTAAGAGATAAGCACATTTCTTGTTTTTAAGGTATATTACTTTAGAAATACTCTAGAGTTTGATTTATTTGTGTAAACATTTTTCATGGAAGTCAAAATGTGTAACTCAAGAAAAGGTTCTGTTAAAGAATTTGTTATTCTGGTTAGAAAAGGATTGCCCGCTTCTTAAAAACTAACAGTTTTCTATTTACATAGCTGGCTATGAATATCCCTCCTGGTGAGATTCTTGTTCTTTTCCATACTGAACTCAGCCTTGGCAGGTGTGGAGACCTAACTTCAAAGGTAGTTTTGCATGGGAAAGGAATATACTTTTCTTCTCCTTCCATGCATTAGCATGGGCCGCTCCCCACTCCTAGATGGACTCTCATAGCATCTTGGCCATCTAAACCTTTCTTTTCCTTCAAGTCTAAGCTCAGGTGTTACCTTCTTCATTAGGTCTCTTCCAATCTTCCTTTCGCCTCAGCAGATAATATCCTCTCCCTTCTCAAATTTTTCTGGAGTACTTAGACTGTATTTCTCATTTGTCCCTATTGAATTCGACCTTATATAGAACTTACACAAAATACTCCTCTATTAGAGACTCATGTTCCTCACCACCCTTTCCAACTTTAAAATCCTCTCCCCTTAGATTTATCCCACAAAGAACAACAATAGGACAGAAAAAAAATCACATTTCTTTTGACATCTGAATGTGCACACACCACAGTATCTTCCATTTGTCTATAATTTTATTTTATTTTTCCAGTTGGGGTCAACTACTCCTGATAGTACTAATTGTGACAACTGCAAAACCACTGTATCCTGCTTTTGTCAGACCTCATCTCAAGTATTAGGTTCAGCTCTGGGTGCCATGGTTTTTTTAAAAGAACATTGGAGACTATTCAGAGGAGGGTAATCAAGATAGTCAAGTACCTGGGATCTATGCTAAATGAGGATGCAAGAACTAAGGATGTTTAGCCTGGAGAAGAGCTGAAGTGAGAGGAACATGATCCTGCGATATTCCATAATTCGTGATCATGAAATATCACTATGGGAATATTGTGGTTAAAAGATGGACTCCTGTCTCAAGATGAAACACTGCACAATTTTCCAAAGGTGTTCTGGCTGCTTCTCTTACTCTTGAATTCTGGAGCCAGATCATTTGCAATCCACACTCACTGTATGACCAACATACACATAGACATATACACATATACACAATAAACACACATATACACACACATATATGTATATGTGTGTATATATGTGTATATGTGTATACATATGTATCGACCAGCCAGCTGCATATCACAGTCTGGACAGAATTTTGGAGTTGGAAGGGATCTCAGTAGTAATTTAGTCCAAACCATATACAACAGGAATATCCATTATTATATATACAACAGGTGTATATTGAACTTCTGTTTGAAAACTTACAACCAGGGTGAATTCACTACCTCTTAAATTAATTCCATTTTTAAACACTGGACATCATATACTCCTGAGTTTTCTCTTTTCCAGGTGAAATATGTCAAGTTCTTCAACTGTTCCTCATATGACATGGACTCAAGGCTCTTCACCATCAGGATTCCCTTACCCTCCTCCCAATCCTCTCTAGCATATTAATGCTCTTAAACAGAACTAAAAACAGTAATTTCCAAGCTTTTCTAGCGTGAAAGAGTCTGTCAGAGCTTATGCGCTTCTGGCATAGCCCTTTAAGAACTCAAGGTCACCTTCATGCCATGATGAGGCACTAGACTAGTATTTATAGAAATAAAAATAACATGATAGAAATAATTACCTCATATGCATTCAGTTATTTTTAACTTTTCAATGTGTTTTTACATTTGTATTTTCCATTTATCAGATCATGGGGATTCATTCATGTGTAACACAGAGACAGATTTATAAACGATGATGCCTCACTGCTACTGACTGTTTCCAAAAGGTTGGCAGAATTCTGAATAACAGGTGCCCATGATTCCTGCTGGGTAACTAGGCAGAGAGACTCCTTCATTCAACGGATTAAATACTCGAAGAGTTGGCCCCTACTTCCTGTGAGTACACCAGACTTTCAGTCCTCCTTCACCTTCCAAGCCCATAGCTAATACAGTGTATATATATGTACATGTACGCATGTACGTAGGTACATATCACAGCTCAGCAAAGTAGGTCCTCATCCACAATGCCCTCCTCTTCTCTAGGATCTGTGCTATCATTCCATTCCCATCACATGACCTATATTTTACAGTTTCAAAGTCCTCTCTGTAATCAGCACTAATGAGAATTCCTTTTCTCCCTAAAAGGCAGAAAAGTCACAAGAGTGAACTACTGGTACTTTGAATGTTGTTCTCCTTCTCTCCCTCAATGTCCTCACTGAAAAATCAGGATGAGAACAGGGAAGTAGTAAGAACTAGTGGAGTAAGAAAAAATGGAAATACTTAAAAGTCATGGGAGAAAAAACTTCACACTGGACCACCACCATAACCTATCCAAGTGTAAAATATAATTCTGTTTATCATGGCTTCATCTCAGATCTCGTGCAAGGAAAATTCATTACCAGAAGGATCATGTTATAGCACAGACCAAGCCAATAAGCATTCCTTAAGTGCTTATTATGTGGCAGGCATTTTTGCTGGGGTTACACAAAAAAGGTAAAAACAGTCCCTGCCCTCAAGAAGCTCACAATCTAATGGGGGAGATTACATGCAAATCACTAAGTACACAAGATAAAGACTGTGTAAATCCCATTTGCTTCAGTGTCCACATCTGTAAAATAAGCTGGAGAAGAAAATGGCAAACCACTCCAGTATCTTTGCCCAGGAAACCCCAGACGGGGTCACAAAGAGTCAAACGTGACTGAAAAACGACTGAACAGCAAAAACATCAACAAATCAGAGGCAATCTCAGAGAGAAGTCCCTAGTAGACTCACCTAAAACACAGTTCAGAGGTCTGAACTAGGAAGAGAGTGTTATAGCAAGGCTCCAGCGTACATACTGTAAAGTTATTTTTATTTTTATTTGTATTACTAAAAGAAATTCCAGTTTCCACAGGTCATCTTCCAAACCTCAAACTCCTCTGATTTATGAACACACCCTAAGCAATGAGATGTTAGGAGAAAGAGAACTGGGGGATGGGAAAGGTTTAAGCCACTGTAACAGTGCGGTTGAATACAAGGGCCTTGTGAACAGTCAACTCTTTTCACTTAAAAATGCTCAGCCCAACCCTATAGGAAGAGCAAAAATAATGCAACTGATGGCAAGTCTGTTAACTGCCCATTTGATTCTCTGAGAACTGGTAAATAAAAATCATAAATGGACTGACACACATTCAAAAAAAAATTTTTTTTTTCCCATAGAGAGGGCAATAGGAAAATACAAGTTTGATTTTTACATCTATGTGTGTATTATGGCTTATTGCCTCAGGGTAAACTCTCCCAGATGTGTATAAGAAGTTGAAATTCCTTGGGCCAAATTCTCATCCTAGGAATGATCCTCACAGTTTTACATCTAACAGGAAGCTACCCTGAATACTCTACAAACATGTCTATCTGATGGAAAGAAGAGAACTTGTTCAGTTATGAGTTCAATAAATTAGAATGTCAGGCTAGGCCAAAAGAAATGTAAAAATGAATACACATGGGTAACCTGACAGGATCTGAGGAGATGTCAGAAATGGATGATACCAAGAACCATTCTCTAATAAATAAGTAGTCAAAGGTAATGAAAAAATTATATGAAAAAATATTTTAAAAAACCATAAATGCCATATGAAAACACGTTCCAGATCACTAAATAGTAAGAGAAATGAAAGTCAGAACAATGGAGGTAGGAAGGATACTGACTGAGCCAATGTGAGACAAAAGAAGAAAAGTAGAAAATGTACCCAGTTTGACAATCACAAGATTTCTTCATGAAGTCAAAAGTTTTAAGAACAGAAGAGAAGCCATCTGATGACCTCTGCATCCCAGAATTTATTTTTGATAAGAATACTGATGAGCAGTTGGTCTGATGTGTCAACTGTGAAAGGTGGGAATGCACTCCAAACAGCCTACTTTCCCCCAATAACTCACAATGGACCGGTCATTCATTAATTTACCTAAACTGCTTTTGAATCTATATTTTCAGTTTCTACCATCATCTGAGGATAACAAGGACCATAAGTGTTCAAGGTAGTAGTTCCCTTATTTTATCCTAAACTTATCTTGCTTGAGCGTCCGTTAGTCTAACATTCTGTGATCTGGCAAGTGTGGACTAGGCATGAGGAGCCATGGGCTCTAAATCCAGCTCTGTCATGTGTGACCATGTAAATCACTCCACCTCTGGGTGGAGAAATTCATCTATAAAACAAAGGCATTGTACTTCACTTAAGGTGCCATCCAACCCTAACAAACTATGATTTGTCCTCTCCGTCCCTTTCATGCCTTTATGGATTTTAGTCATGTCTCCTGTCCACTTCTTTTCACAGTACAGAGTTCTAACCTCTTCAGTCTACACCCACATTAACCTCCCCTTCACAAAAGGAGACATTTCAACTGCCTGTCTTTACCATTAAGTCTTTCCTGATGTATGGAAGCGACACTGGCACATGGCATCCTAGGTATAAGCATACCAGAGTTTCGTAAACTAAGGAGAAGAATTATTTCCTGATAACAAGGATCTGTTTTTGTTGGCCTTTCTGGTCTGAGCAGCACATAAATCTGCAGCTTTTCAATGGAAATATTTCCTTTATTTGTTCCCAATGTTTAATAAAAGAAGTGCCATCATTTCTGGCTTAGAATAACTAAGGCTGGTAGGACAAATAGTCATCAACAGTGGCTGAAATGGGATGGATCATGCATCAGTTTTACTGGAGAAATAAGGAAGATGAATGTATTTTGGCCTAGCTTATTCCATGGCAAGTTCTAGAAATAAGATGCTATGGGTCTATTACTTACTTGCAAGAGCACCCCATGAACGTGGTTATGCCGGATACACAGGTCTGTGCAGTTGGGTAGTTCAGACAACAGAGACTGAATAGTATTTGGGATCTGGTCAATCATGACAAATGGGACCAAGGCCCGGGCTGCCATTTCCCTGGAATGGTAGACAGCAGAATGACCGCACCTAAAAAAAAAGAAAAATGCACTGTTACTCATCAATCACTTCCACACCCACTGCACACTCATGGTGTGTGTGTCTTTAGCTTCACTGGATTGGGCTGGGCATGCCCAGGGCGAGGGCGCATCTATTTTCCTGCTCGGTACCACACCTACTACAGTACTGGCACTTTATGAAATGTGTCATTTCCATATCTATGAGTATTATTGAGGACTCCATATTCATTATTTAAATTAAAGCAGTGAGATACAGTGGAAAATGTGCTGGATTTGATGTTGAATCTTGACTGCACCATTTACTATGCACTATGTACATGACCTTGAACAAATCACTGAAGATCTCTAGGCCTCAGTTTCCTCATCTATAGAATAAGAGGGTTGCACTAGATAGCCCAAATGGTCTTTCTAGCTCTAAATCTGTCACCCAAAGATATGTCCCACCATTATTATTACAAGTGATAAACACAGAAAATAGATCAAGAGAATAAAGGCTATCAACAAGTAGCTTGTTTGGTTACACATTGTAGGTAAGCTGCAACTCTAATACCAACCAAAAGCCAAGTATTAACTAATCAGCTAGCATGCACCAGTCACTGTAAGGAGACACAGTAAAGTATAGGGCATGGAATGGGCCTTCTGGTGGCAAGATTGGAAACAAGACATACACATAGGCAAAAGTAATTGAATAAAATACAATGAGAAAAGTATCAGAACTAAATAAATAGTACAGATCAGGTGTCAAAAATGCAGCCCACACACTCAGAAGTGTGAAGCCCAAACCAGTTTGACCACAAGAGTATAGATTACAGTTCAGAGGAGAAGGAAGTGGGTCTTGTAGTTTGGGATTTGAAGGATTGGTAGGATTTAAATAAGGGTGTGGAATTCAGATGGGAAGTGAAGAACAGGGAAAGTATTCCCAGTAGTGAAAATGGGGTGAGCGGTATCACAGAGGTAGTCAAACACAAGGGAGATTTCAGGCTCAATTGAGCACACCAGTTAGGAAGACAAGGTCCAAAAGATAAAGAGAGGCCAGATAAAGTGAAAGGCCTTGAATGCAGGGCTAAAATATCTGACCTGCATTCAGTAGGCAATAGGGAACAATTTATGGTTTTTTAGCCTAACATGATTCCACATTATGTGGTATGTACCCAAGAGGAAAGTGCAAAGTTGGTGTAATACGCTTCCTACATAACAGGTAAGAAGGTAGGAAACAATACCTCTACAACACAGTTACGGAGCATCAGAGTGATAAGCTGGATTTTGAGGCTATTTTGTCCAGCCTCCCTCCATACCTCTGCATAGACCCACACCCAAGTATTTTAGAAATAAATGATCTATGAAAGTGAATGTAGCAGAATGTAAGCTCCTAGAGGGCAGGACTCACTTTGTCATCCTTGCTTTGTCCTCTTTGCATCTTCAGATCCTGGGACATACTAGGTGCTTAATAAATGCGTATTAAAGGAATGAACTATAAAATTACAGACAAGCATCACCTCAGCACCTTTACAAATCATGAAAGTCAACAGAAAAGACAGACAGCCAAAAGGAATTTTGAGAATACTCCAACGTTAAGAGATCATAGTCATAATTATGTACCAGAGAATCATCACAAATAGAAGGAGGAATTCAGTATTACAAGTCCGGGCAACATGAATGGGGAAGGCTGGGGACCAAAAGGCTGTGACAAAATCTTAAAAGGCGATTTTGGAGCCAACAGACTATCCTTGGTATCTCAAAGAATGGTTTGCAAATAGGAGATCTCACTGCTTGATGTTCTCAAAGCTCAGCTAACGTCAGGTCCCTGAATTTCACTACCCTAACCTCGGGCTTCTAAGCCTTATCAAAAATGTCCTTGACATGTGTGGGAAGGAAGATGATGATCTCAGACAGTCAGGGTTATGGCTTCTGCAGAAACTGCTGCACACACTCATCAGAGATCAGTCCCCAGAGGTACGGTGCGTTCCTGGACACAGGAGGAAGAGGGAAGCAAAGGGAATAAGCATTGATATAGCACCTACTATGTGTCACGCACTATGCTATAATATTTTACAAATATTAACTCATTTGATCCTCATAATAACCCTCTTAGGGAGGTGCTGTTATTATCCTTATTTTGCAGCTGAGGAAATTGAGGCAAACAGAAGTTAACTGACTTGCCCAGTGTCACATACTTAGTAAATGTCTGAGGCTGGATTTGAACTCAAATCTTCCTGATTCCAGGCCCAGTGTTCTTTCCAGAGTCCTCTCATGTAACCTTCTCACTAGATAGCCACATAAGAACCTTGCCAGTCAAACCCAAAGGAAAAGGGGATCATGCTACAAGATACAAAAAAGAAAGATACCCAATCAGTCAACAAGGCTCAAGCACTGCTGTAGAGGCTGGGTATTAAAAAACACAAAAATGAAATAATCTCTGCTCTCAAGACCCCTACATTCTAGGAGGGGAGATAACATGTGCACATATAAACATATGCAAAATAAGCACAAGGTTCCCTTGGTAATATGAGCACAAGGTGAAACACAAGGGAATTCAGGAGTGAGGACACTACCAGCCAAAGGAGTCGTGAAAGGCTTTGAGTAGAAGATGGCGCTTGGGCTGCATCTTGAAGGGAGGGGTGCTCTGAAGTAGAAGTGAAGAAAGAGGACATCCCAGGCATGACAGACAGCCAGTACGAAGGCACAGAGATGAAAGATGGAAAGCCACGTTTGAAGAGCAAGAAAAGACCAGCTGGAGTATGCCCTGGAGTACAGGAAGGCCCCGGCACACCTGAGGTGCCCTACCGAGACAAGCTCCTATCCATCTTCCTCTTTTTTTTTTTTTTCCCAGCCAGAGACAAGGTCTATTAAAGATCCATCATATTGGCCAGTCTCTTAAGGGATCTGAACATTAATGATCTGTTGGCTAGGTTCTTAAGGAATCTGAGCCTTTCCTTCTCTTTAAAAGTGTTTATTCACTGCAGTCATATCCGACTCTTTGTGACCCCATTTGGGGCTTTCTTGGCAAAGATACTGCAGTGGTTTGCCATTTCCTTCTCCAGCTCATTTTATAAATGAGGAAACCGAGGCAAACAGGGTAAAGTGACTTGCCCAGGATCACACAGCTAGTAAATATCTGAGGCCAGATTTGAACTCAAGAAGATGAGTCTTCCTGATTTCAGGCCTGGCATCCTATCCACTATGCCACCTAACTGGTCCAAATAATAGCTTTGTGGACATAGGATTTTTAGGGAATATTTCCTGAATCACCAGCAGGAGAAATCCTGTTTCTCTCTGCTACTAGATGCGAGCTGAAGTTATCTCCAGCACGTATGAAAGGCCGGTATACATCTTCAAGTTACTGGTGGCACCTGCTGTCTTCTGGCCTCCACAGCCCAACTACCAGGTTCCTCATTTATTAAATGAGGGTGCTAGGCTCAGTGATCTCTGAGATCCCTTCTGTTTCCAAATCTATGATCTTGTCAGCCTGTGGTCCTACAGAGACCTTCCCCCTCCCATCCCACTGTGCTAACCTGCACATTCTTTTGGCTGCTGGTATACTGGAGATGAACCGATGAGACTACAGACATCACATACAGTGTATATGTGGGCAGAGCAGGAAAAAAGTCAATTGGTTAAAATAAGCTCACCCCCTCCCTCGATGCTAATGTTGTCATCAAGAGTCACATCAATATAAGAATGAAAATGGAAAAACGGTCACAATAACATGGTTAAAAAAAAAACAAAAACAAAAACTAAAAGCTAAAAATGTAATGGCCTAAGTAAAAGTCCCTCACCCTGGGAAGTTGGTGGTTCATGTGAAAATATACAATGGAGAGGTCAGTGTTTCACAAGAAAACAATAGAATTTGGTCTGGCTTAGGACTGGGGTAGCTCTGGGGCAGATAAACTTAACAAAAGTTCAAGTGAGGCCAAAGCTTGCTGGACCATCTAAATTTTACACGGAGCCATCAAGTTTCCTTCTGCACTCAGCATAGGGAATAGAGCTCACAATGAAGTCTGATCATCGTGGAACATGAGGGATTTCTTAAGGGTCACCAACAAGGCATTTAACAGTTTATGTATTTTTCTCACATTTCAATTTTTTCCTTCACCAATGGCTAGCCAAACTTTTTGTCTTTAGTCGGCAAGAAGCAGTGAGATGTTTGGTTGAGCCCCATGAGAAACAACTTCATTTTCACAGTGAAAAGAAAATGCTTTTATTTAATTATACAATAACCTTAGCACAGCACAAAGTCATTTGTCTGAAGCTTCCCTGTCCCACCCCCACTCCCCTGACCACTTTGTACTAGAGTGTGTTTTATGTTAACCAAGGGGTTCTTGTATATAAATGTTTCTTTTCAAATACAAATAACTCTGACATCGTTACAGATGTTTAGTTTCCAATTAGCAGTAACTGTATACTAAAGAATGCCCTTCATTCTGCTCATGACCTTTTACAAATGATGATTTCCCAAAGGAATCTGGCATCCATACAGGAGAAAGAATGGAAAATGGGAAAGGTGCCAACATTTTCTGCTTCCAAATACCCTTGTGCTAGGGTACTTTCCAAATGCACACAAACCAGGTTAAAAAACAAAACATAACCTCTTCCAGAAGTAATGCAATTATCCCCTAAAGAGAAAGGTCTTTTTTTTTTTAAAGTAATGTAGGTAATTAAATAACATTCATTATGAGGTAAATACGAAATGAAATCTCAAACTCCTTTCTTCTGAAATTTGTTTAAAGAGAAGGATAAGTTATAGCCAACATGAAAGGAAATAGACTTATCAAGTCAAAAAACATTTCTAGGTCATAAACTTTTCAACAGCTAATACCCCACCCCCACTCCCAAAAAATCAAACACAAGACCAGATCCATTAAACTATTCTCTTCTATAAGCTGGAGTCCTTAAGAAATATACAATCATTCAGGTTCTAAACTGAACACTGAATCAAGACGCCACAACTTAGGAGGAATCTCAGGGCTCACTTTATTACATACCTGACCAAGGACACCCTTACAAACACTC